TAATATTATTATGTACGTTTACGGCCCAACGTTGTTTCCGCCCAAACCGGCTTATAGCTCGATTCACGTATTATAACTTTCACATTAGTTGTTATCAGGCACACGTAGTGAGGTTTCAGTAAGCACGCTAGTTAACCTGTGTTGTTAAAGTTAAAAACTTCCATGTTGTTTTTTACCGCAAATCCGCACACATAAACAGCAAAAAATGCCGAAGTGTGAGCTCTACTTTTCCCCGAAGTTTAATATTCTTCAGATGTAAGCGTAGATATTTACTCTTTTCTTGCACTGGTTATAGAATAACTGCACTGAAAGTCAATGGACTATGGGTCAGACTGCGATCATCTATGTTTGAAAGTTGAACGCTTACTGAACCTTTTAACCGAAAGGACCTGAACATGGACTGCCATTAAGAACCGATTATTTTGAGGAGAGATGTAACGTAAGCCGTCTCTCGTTCGATATCGAGTAATGCTGAACTAGTTTTCTGGATAGAAAGTATCTACTTTGCATCAGTCGCCTCCGTAGAGCTCGCAGCGGTTGACTCGACACATTTCGTTTCGTATCGAAATTGACGGTACAGGTTAAATCGGCGCCGTAAGACTACCTATTACGTCGTATCGTTGACCCGAATCCCTGTCAAGAACGGTAATAAGTGAAATGAGCAGTAGTTTAGCAAGCTTCTTTCAAACGCAGAGTGAACCTCTCAGCGATACAGGCTGACTTCTAATTCCCAGAAACAATGATGCGTGGTATCTTACATTACTTCGAAACGCTTATTACTGATGATTTAGTAATTTATTAAACATAACTTATTTGATCTAGTCAGTTTAGTTTAGGACCGAGTGACGTCTGTTTTCTACTTTGACAACTTTCAATTTATAACACCCGCACTGACCAAAGGAAGCAAACCTCATGGTCAAGTGTACTACTAATTGAATCCGATGGCCTTTGAAATAGCGTATCTGAAGTATACGTTTCTCGAGGATCCGTAACTAGGGGACGGAGAAATCGATAAAAGATAACTGAGCTTAAAGCGCACTTCTGTGAAATCGCATTTTTTGTTAGTATATTTGAAATTTTTTTTTACTCTAACTGTCCCCGGATCTACAGTTGCAAGAGGTTCGTCTATCGCCATTGTATAATTTAGGCCGAGTGGCCTATCTTGGATCGTCGAGATATAGGCTATGTATGTACTGGAATATGTAGTGGAGCCGATACGCAATTACAGATATATACATAAACGAGCGAAACGGTTACATTAAGATTTTCTAACATGACGAGGTCTTGATGTTGAAGCGCACGAAACGAATTAGCAGAGACAATAGTGTCCAATGAAGATAAGCAACGGGCACTATGTTGGATGTCTTACTTAGAACAAGCTGTGCGCTAATTAAGTTGACTATAGGAAGAACTTTGGGTTGCTCGACGCTTGCTTCGATTCATGAATCGCAGATCAAGAGAAATGTACGTAGCTTCTGCTTAGCTTGATCGACGACTCTTTTTGGGAAGCTATCGGGGCAAGTTGCCTCCGGACTCGTACGAGTCAGCTGGCATAATGTTTATAACAAAGGTAAAGACGAAACTGGCGTTGGGCTTAAATCGATGTAGAACATGAGCCCCGTGCTGGTGTGGTAGCAACGCGCTCCTCAAACAACCTTAGAGTTATTAAATCTTGACTAGCTAGAACTGCTGGAGTTGAGACTCAGGAAAGACATATTTATTTTGCTTTGGTAGAGGTCACCTGTTTGACGCAATGCTAATTCAGTTCATAGGGCAAAACTTGAAACAATGAGATAAAAGATAGGAGATGTGCTCAATCAAAAAGTCAGCTCTTCCTGCTGATGTCTGCCAGCAGTACGTGCATTGATAGATTAAGACTGTCTGAACTGTAAAATGAATAAAGGACGATAGTGATTTTATCGTCTAATGAATCTGCGTATTCTGTGCCGGAGGTCGCGGAATCAAGCTGCGGAGATGAAGTCCATCTGCATACGACGCTACCACAGCCATCCAGTTTTATTACTGCAGCTGAAGATCTAGGTATCTCGATACTTTGTTGGCATCGCGATTGTGGGCATTTTACTCGTTTGTTAATAGTAAAGACCAAGCAAAAACAAAATCAGCATAGACTACGGCATACAGTTAGGTAAACTCGTACGACTTCGTAATGTACGAGAGGACAGTTTATACAAGAATGACATGAGGCTACTGCACTTCCTCGTATACAGCATACCTATTTGATGCTCCGTTCTCAATGAATAGTGCCGGGAAGCTTATCTTTTAAATTTTAGTTGTTATCCATTTTCTTTTATTCACTATTATTTTTATTTGGCAATGCAAGAAACTATAGTTTTTTATTTACCGAAGCCAGACCTGTGACCCTATTCATTAGCACTCTCGACTATCAATAAGTTGCTTGTAATAATTTAAAATGTTGATATTGCGTTCTATATTATATTTACAGAGGCTTGTGATGCCTCGAAACTCAAGACCTTAATTGTCCTTTTTAAAAAAGACTGCGTCTACGCGTCTGTTTAGTTCGCTTGTCCTGTAATGATACGATTAGGCTTTTATTGCATTTCCCATTGTACGAGTTTATCTAATTTATCAACTAAAATTGTATCCGGTTGCGTTTATCATATGTCTCCGTTAAATTCTCTCCCTTTTATTCTTGCAATCAGTAATTTCGTACTGTTATTTGTTTCTGCTTTGAACACGCATCTCTCAGTATCTCCATCCGATTTTTGTGTTGATGCTTTTGCTAAGTCTGAGTTCGACTATATAACGGAAGTCGGAGTTCGGATATATAACGTTCGTAGTACAATTTCTTGATAAATCGAGCCACGCCTCGGTTATAGTTCTCATCGCTTGATAAAGGAATAGTTAAACAGAACGACCGCCACAGCTCAAAATCATTATAGCACCATCGATATCCAAGGGTAAAATTAGCATCCAAAAGTCTGCCTGGCATTCGTGAATAGTCTACCTGTGCTTTGCGAGAACGCACGTCTAGCTATACGTTTATTTGTATAGTACCTGCATTGTGCCTCGATCATTTCGAAATGAGCTGACTAACGCCAGGGGTAATCAAGAATTAAATAAAGAAAAAATCGATTTTCTCACATAAAGTGTTCGATTGTTTTACAAGCGAAATGTTTTACATTATTAACCGTGTCCGATACTGCAGATAATCTATCTATAAAATAAAAGTTAGAATAGATAAACCTAGTCGCTATGGGTAATTTGTTTATCTGAGTTGATAAAAACTCTTTGCAGAACGGTTCAAATCTGGCCTTCCTTTATATCCTCTGATTTGTGAGTCTAGAATGGAAACTGGAAAATCTTGCCCTGTTATTCGCTCACCCAGTAGCGTAAGGACGCTGTCCTTCGATTAGCAAATAGGCCGTATTAGAGTTGTTGGGTCTGTTTTCTTCAGGAAGGAAGCTGTGTCTAAACAAATCTCGCTTTGTAGCGCATCGATGTGTAATGTTTTAGTTTAGCTCATTCGAAGGATCGTTCGAAAAGAAAGAGAACCGAATATATGAAGCTAAATTTATTTGGGGCTTAAGAGGAAAGGCCTATTGCTATTCATTTTGAGATATCTCCTTTGCCGGTAACGCGTGACCTTGTGGCATCGGTAGCAAACATTACGGGAATAGGAGAAAGGGATTATCGTTTCAACGTTAGACATATATGTACCCATACAATAGTTTGAAGGACATCCAGAATTCAGGTCTGATATTGTCTATGCAGCATGTAGTTTCACACGTCAAAAAATCATTTTTATTCACTGATTTTAATTTAGCACACAAAAGCATTTCTTAGGCACCCTTGGTAATTGTTCTTTCAATCGGAATCAATCTATTTTTAACCATCCGTGTACTTTTACACTATTTATGGTAGACGTATAGTTCTTACCGTTCTCATGATTTTTTCGTAAGTAGATGCCCGAATCAACCAGCCAATCAAGCTGCGGCGGCACTGATTTCGGCATTTTTCTACAAGGGAACACATACGGCGTTCGAGACAGGTCACTGTGATGCGTCAATGCATTGAGTGCACCCGCAGATAGGGTTAGAGCTAACGAATGACGCCACTGTACGATCAACGTCCATGTGGAAAACCTCATAAAGCCGGTTACGATAGAAACGCAAAACGGCGAACGAAGTGGAAGAGAAAATCAACTAGAGAGATGAATCAGATGCGATGGGCAGGTTATAACAGTAACTTATTGGTTCCAGTCTAATTAAAGCGTATTGATCTCTGTAAAGGTTTAAACTTACGCTTTAAAGAAGTGGGTTCATTCAATCTTTACAACCAATTTTTTTGAGTACCATCAAACACAAAATATATATTTCTCTTCTTGTCTCAGAACAAACAAATACTGCGTATTTACTGATAAAATGCGTTAGTTAAATTGATGGATTTACTAGATCAACATTGTCCGATTCGATCTCAAAATGTAGCGTATCGTTCTAAGTGTTATTAATATTAGTTACTCACTGGAAATATGTTAGTGTAGGAGGAATAAACAAATCCAGATACTAGTCAATACTGGAGGAATATTTTTAAGCACAAACATTGCTTTTCAAAGATGAGTACCATCAAATTCTCAGCATTTATTTTAGCTTGATAGTTTTGACATTGTGACCTGTATTTGTACAAGGTAGAGGGCGAGTAAGAACTGAAGGTTACATGCAAGACTTCATATTTCTTCGAAAAAACATTGGCAACTTTTACTTTTTTATTCACTTCATACACTTTCAAGTGCTCTGAATCTTCACGAAACCTTTCTCTCTGTGGTTACGGTTGTCCTTAGCAGTCCTGATAAGTGATCTTTTCAATTACTTAATCCTATCACCTCCTAAACCATGCAAAAGAAAAGATAGTTAAATCTTTATTTTTTCGCGCTTATTAAGGACATGATAGGTGTAGCCTAGGTCTTTCTTTATTCTTTGATGTATTTCGACTGACGACAAGGCCAAGCCCAATCAAGAAGGCCTCGATCGACCTTAGCTCATCGCTATTCTCTTTTTCTTCTCGTTTATCACGTCAGAATGAGCCTTGGCGTGAGACGCATTATCTCCCAAGCGCAATTTTGTCATTATTAGTTCGGGAAGCTAAAGCCTTGAGGATGGCTGTCGCTGAAAGGCGTAGCAATATTGGCAAAGCTGACCCCCCACATCACATCTCCTGGACGAAGACGTGGCTTGACAGGCAAAACTTACGTAATAATAGATTCGCTGCCGCCCCACTGCAACCCCCATCGCTCAATACTTGCTATCAGCATACCGATTTACGCCGCTGGTATAAACTACGCGAGATACTTCGATCTCGACGCAAGTATTATATATATATCTCTTGACGGGTTTTCCATGTTCAATCCTTTCTTGTAGATGGTGCCTTGTAATTAATGGACATGATAGAATACGCACCTGCGGATTAAATGCATGCAAAAAATGCAGCAGGGTAATATGAGGATCATACCATACGCTGTAAGTGCGCATGTATACGAATGAAACAATGAACGTCGTCGAAAGACCGTGGTCGTGATCAGATAGGTTAAGGTTATAAACAAATGACCTTTTTTAAAAGAACAGTTTATCATAACGCATCGCTGATGCTGCAATAAACATTCATAGACAAACTACTTTTCACGGTTTGCCTTTCAAACAGTATGTAACAGTAGGTCGAGGATATCCATTAAACTGTATTTCCCCCAAAAAGGTGTCATGATCTATTTAAGAATTTGTTTTATATCAAGAAAACGTACTAGCGGATACGATCGAAAGCACTGTTAAGTATAGGAAGTTCTACTAATTAACGCCACTTGAGTAATGTTTTAGTTTTTTATTTATAGCTTGAGAAAGCTACTATTTGTGAACGCTGCCAAATATGTCGCTCCGATCGTATACGCATTATTACTTTCTGTGCTGAGTCCGCTTCTAGCGTGGTAAGCGGCGGCGGCAGCGGCGGCAAAACAACGATAAGTGTGTTAATTCGTTCCTAAGGAAAAGTTACAGCAAGTAACTTTAAATGATCCTGTGAGGGCGAGAGACGTTCGGAGCCACTGGAAGCGGGTGCCGGTAGAAATGGTCGAGCAGACGAAATTCTTAACACGGCCCGAACCCAGTGGTAGTTCTCTTTCTTAAAGAAACAAACAGTTTCTAACCCGCCTTAACGCCCTAGGCGGTAGCCAGCAACAACCGCTGACGCTTCGCCAGACCGCCAATTCCTGAACACTTTTTGCCTTGCGCTAGACTGTAGTGAAGGACGATTCATAGATTTGTAATGAAGCGCGACGTGAGACATCGTACAAATCTATGAATCTAGCTAAAGTAATCTAACTTTTCGGTCAGCCAGTTTATGAGGCGCAAATGAGATTTGGCTGTGCAATGCTATCCGACAACCCTCCGGCAAGTCGACTCCCTCCATGTAGCACACTTAACGTCCAATACTACAAATCTGTTGTCGTAGATCGCTACCCTTACAGAGAATAGCCTTTATAAGATATACGAGCATTGAAGAGGTCTGTTCTATAATGGATTTTTTCATCTAAAAGTAGCTTTGTATAGTATGCTACTAACCATAATCTCATTATTCGTTTGTTCAGCTGTTGCAGTACCTACGGGACGCCTCTTAAGGTCGACGTGGAGAGCCATATGCAAGGATTCAAGCCGAAAAGCTCACACATCCTATTAATTATGCCCTCAGAAGAATAAGGATCATTTGTAAAAATATCATCCCAATGTTATTCAACGCGTGCACGTTAAGCGAATATTTAAAGGGAGATGGGTTCAAGTATTTGTAAGGTTGTGTGTAGGCATAAGTGATTAAAACTTAGGCCACAAGCGTTGCACGTCGTGTTTTTATGCATTATAACGTTTTGTCCTTTTCGTTTACATTTGGATGATCTACATCATGCAAAATATGGCTCTTAGATCATAACGTAGTAGGAAGCTTACGAAGTAGTCTCCATGATAGCATACTGGGCCTGTAGATGCCTGCTAATCTTAGGGATACAGTATGTTAGGTTTGATCTGAGCATAAATAAAGATTGTTCTCTCTTGGAGGCCAGCCGTCCCATGGAATGTCTAATGACAATATCGGACGTAAAGCTCGAAACATAGAACCTTGCGACTTAAAAACCCTATCACTTATCATTTAGCATAAGTGTCATAGGCATAAAAGTGCCCAAAATAGCCTAGTTTTGGCCTCTGTTTATTTGTAAAAAATGGTACCGACAACTCTGGCCTTACCTTGTTAATGCTTTTTACAACGATTCTTTTATATTTTTCTACTAAAAATCACTAAAGAAATGGCCTTGGGATAGCTTGACATTAAGCATCACATACAACTACAAGCGTCATCGCTGAATTTGTTCTAGCTGACATTTCCTGAAGTAGCCATTTACCTTCATAACTTACTTTTTGGCTCAAAGGAGACCGGACCTGAAAACTTGCCTTGTTGGCGTGTATTGCTATTTAGGACTATATTAGGATTTTTTATTGCCCCTACATTGCAGTTATCTATCGTAATTATACAAAAGTAGGATGTAAGCAATTTTTTGAAAAACGTCAACTAACTGGGCGTTCTGGGAATTCTGTTGATTCCTTGCGTGATTTTTAGTACGTAGCACCGTAGCAAAATTGCGAATACGTAATACTAGCGTATCAGGTAATTAGATCGTTTAGAACTTTAAAATATAGGCGCGACACAAATATTATTGTCTGTGTTATATTCTTACCGATCGTTGCCACTGTCATGTTAGGAAGACGTTTCGATTTTAATTATCAGCTCTTGTACTGGCAACTTATATTAAACTAAGTCATGATATTAGTTTCACTGTCGCCTGCGCCACCATTGCAACAAGCGACTCCTGCGACTCTTAGCGATATGCGGTGGTCTAGGTTCGAACCCGGGTCGACCCATACGCACGTTCCGTACCGAAAGCCTGCCACCCGATGAAATGCCAGATGTAGAACTCGAAACATTTCGTTATTGAGCGTTTGTAAACTTAGTTTTCCATTTTCATTTTTACGGTAAGTATTGTGCACTGCTCTGCGCCTGTGGAAGAGCAATAGTTATATAACCAAAAAAGTAATTCTATGAAAATCAATCGATAGTTGGCTACTGTTGAGAAAAATTGTTCTTTAGATCATTTGAGCGACTACCGAAAACGGTAGAAACATTTTGCTCTTTTTGAACGTGATAGCTTCAGATGGACAAGCTGATTGACGAAAAAGAGGAATCGTAGTCTGTTGTATTTCCACATATTAAATGCCAAACATTCTATCGTTTTGCTAACGAAATCTCTATTGAAAGCCTTGCGCCAAAGAAACGTGCCATTCAGAAATTCCGTGCATCACGCTTGCCCACGTAGGTAATGAGCTACATTGGTGCCCAACAGGAAATTAACATTTTGATTGATCGATTACCCAAAATGTGAGCTATTTCTATCGAGCAGATATCGTGAAACAACGTAAACCTATAACAACATTGCTACAATTTAGTTAGCAATGTAAGCTCTTCTAAAGATCACAGCTTTGTCTTCATCCGCAATATTTCATTAACATTAATCGACTGCTTAAACTATAAAGACGCATTAAATCACTCATACGAAAATAATCATCATTGATTTTTTCAGCAAATCTGCACGCTTCATCATGTATCGATAGCAATGCTACGTTTAAAACATCGTTAATAATGGCCTCAAACGCCTGATGTTAGCCAGCAGAGAGAAACAGACTTACTTGTTACAACTGTCGCACACACCGAACTATAGTAAGCGAACACCAGCGTCGCCAGCGTGCACGTTATGCTAGCACTAGTAAATAGCGCGAAACAAATCGCACATGCACTTTCGTGCAGTAGCCATCCCAGATGAGTACCTGACGTAAGCATGCTGCTTTAGAATACGTTCCAGAAACATTGGCCTCTGCTGTCGTCGTCCCCCCGTACTGCCGTACTAAGTGAATTTTTGTACTCAATTAAAAACGATTCAAAAAGAATCGCTCGTAAAGATCACCTGCTAAATAAACAAAAATATACTTTCAAACGCAAACTATATTATTTTTAGGGTAAACTAGTTATGTATGTAGGACGACACAGCTAAATGATTTAGGCCGGCACATTATAAATCCGTAAGATTGTGTACCCCCTATTAACTGAGCGTTTTAATTTATTTATTTAAACTGAAAAACGATTGGTCTTTTTACTATATGCCTGGTGGCCATTGGTCTAATAGTGAATCCTTTAGGAAGGGTCATGGTTGACTATCTGCTTCTGTTAAACGGCCAACTCGAATCTGTTAAACGACCAATATCGATTACTCTATTTTCTGTCGACAAAAAGATCCCTAAATGAGTAGGGTGTGAAAATGCGTTGGATTCGTAAAAAAACCATTGCACAAAATATGGACTACAGTTATTGTATAATACTGCCAAATAGTCAAAATTATAACTAAGGCCAAACTGTTCAAAAAGAAGATTCGACCTACCTAAGTCGATTGCCATCGGTGTCTCCACTCCTTTCTTTACCCCACAATCCTCTTCGAGGTAGAGGTTGCCCAACTTGCCCGGAGGTTGCCCAGACAGGCAATGTCCGGGCAAGTTGATCTTTCGACAGTCGTACGGATAATAATTTTGTTTTAATATAATAGTAGTCAGGGGGAATCTTTTTTGAAGCTCATTTGAGTATGAAGCTCGTTTTTATAAAGACATATCGTTTTTCTCATACCGTTTTCTGACCTAAGTAAGCGTACACGCAGAAAATCATAAAAGCTTTAAATTATAGAGTAATGTGCTTTTTCGCACGGGGCTGGAACGTCTCGAGAATGAAACCTTTGCTAAGGGCTTATAGAACGTGACACCCCATTTCAGGGATCGTTTCGTATACATTAGAAGTAAAAAGGTGAAAGTTTTTGCCACATTCCAATTTCGAGATCTATAGCACAGCAGTACTTTTATTAAGTTTAAAAACTATTTTTTAATTTATTCAAAAATCTTTCTTTACCATAGCTTTCGGCATGGTTCGGTAATAATCGTAAGGCAATTAGACTTCGATAAGAATGGTTATTTTTGTTTGGTATAATAATATAGTTCTAGTTAACTTTGGGTTTTGGTCTGATGGGCATCTAATTCGGGGCGTACTATTACGAGAAAAAGTGTATGCAGCCTTATGAATATTTTTTTTTTTCGGAGTACTTTTTGAGGACTGTATAACTAACGTCTAAGTCATTTTATCGATAGATGGAATTAAACAGATGTCTACCGCAGAGCTGAATTTGGATTTTTTTCTTAGCCTTGTCAGTGAGTGACAAGACATTACGTAAACGAACTATTCTAGCTACTTGTAAATCGCCATATTTTTTACTTATGAGTTCAGCCGAACGTCGACGTATGTGTGACGTCGCACTCCTCGCTTCTTCCTACAGAAGAGTATTCGGCTTGCCATGCAAAGCCTCGAGTGAGACAGACAGATAAGTAATGGAGAAAAGAAACTATATATTATCATTTTATGACTGCAAGATCTCAGATCTTTTGCAAGCCTTTATCCTCAGAGCAGTTCCTGAGGAACGCTATCTTTGATATGAAACTTTTAATCTCAGCTTATCATAATGAGGAACTTTTGGCCGCTGATCTTCGTCCTTTGCATGGACCTTGTCTTAGCAATAAACGAAAAACAAAATAAGTAGCTTCTTAGCTAATGATTGTACATACAATAGTATATTAATACCGATTTTTGGTTATGTAGAAGTCTTTAACTGTAGGGTTATTAATATGGTTATTACAATTGGAAATCTGTTACACGTTTGGTCTGATCTCGGATCCTATTCATCTAAGCACTAACTGCAAACGTAACGTAACACACACTCAAGACAGTTAAATACTATAGCTGAGCTTATTTAAATCCACAACGAATGCTATTTAGGACAAATTCTAGGAACTTCATTGATAGTTTTACATATCAGCAGATATTCTAAAAAACGCTAAAGGTAAAGTTATGGCAGAGCATTCGACGAAAACTCTTATGAGCTACTATACAGTTAAGCCTTGTGAACTATAAGATACGTCAGAGGGCTTCCAAAGCAGGAATTTAGTTAGAGCTAAAATCTTGCGATGCTAAGGTGTCGCGATACCGTTGCATCCATAAAAGAACCTAAGTACATTAGATTTTATCGTAATGTTTGTCGACGAATGTAACAATGACGCAGTATCGGTGAAGCTGTTCCGGCCTGAAAAAAATATTTATATTTGTAAAAATCTAAGGATCGATGGGAAGCCGCGTTTTTTTTATAGTCCTATAGTTCTTCTAGTCTATTATAGTTCGAGATGCCTAACGATAGTTACATGTTCGCAGCTTACCTACTCGGCAATTGACGAGTCGTTTCGTTATCTGGGGTCTATTAGGACTTCAGACGACCGAAGTACATCTTGCAGGTCTCAAATTCCATCTTTACGCTTAACAAGTTCATTTACAAGTTACAGTAATCTTGCTGTATTGGGACTGCTTCGGCAGCTGCTTGACATCGATGAAACACGATGTGGAGTAGATGTCGAAAAAAAAGGCACTTCCTTTTACCAGGAGCATCCGGCTTGGAAGCCTGACTCGAGATAAAATTCGTTCACTACGATATAAAAGTATGCTACTATGGGCTCGTGGATAAGACGGGATGCACCTTTGAAAGAAACAAACAAACAAACAATGAAGGGATAAAAAGGAGCAGCGGATTTGAAAGGACAGCCACATTATTCGCGGACCAACCTAAAAGTTATCAACATGCGGATAATGCCTTCCGTATGTACCACTTTTCTCATAGTGATAAATTCATGTGACTCGGCACTGAAAGCCTTTTCTCGAATGTTTGAAGCAATACGTTTAATGAAGCAGAAGATAAACAAGCTTGAGAATCTGACAGTCAAAACCTTCTTTAGGTATGTGTATATAAAGCATATGTGATTTTGCCCAACGAAATAAATCCTCTGTAGCAATCGTCTCCATAGCACCTGTGGTGGTGCCGCTATGATGTGTAACGCGTTTGCTGTCAGAACTTAGCGACGTGTGAGGTGGCCTAAGTTTGAAACCTTCGTTTCGTACTGGAAGGGGCCACTCAAGCAGCGCGCAACTTCAGTACCGGATGTAACTTAGCAGTAGTATTAGTTAGTTCTTTTTAAGACGTTTACGCATTGGCACCCACTGATATTTATTGCCATGTCCGTGTTCTTAGATAGACTAGAGATACCAGCCCTAATGATCTATTAGCTTTTGGTGACACGCTGTGTACAATACACTGGCCCGTTGCGAACCACAATGGGAAAGAAAACAAGCCAATAGCACGAATCATAGTGACTCTGATTTACCGTACAATAGTTTTTAAACAGTTCAAGGTAAAACAATACGCTAAGTTCTAATGCTCGTTATTCTTAACGATATTTTCGAACTGTTCCCCTAGCCTCAGCCGAGTTTTCAATGGTGAATTTGTTAACTGTTCCTATGGATGCCAAAATCGACCGAACCACTTCTTTTAATATAATCATTAGACTCTTGTGTTCCAGTAAATTGCAACCTTCCCGATGCTTAAACAGTTACCGTTCTAGATGTCCTGTGGGTTCCAGGACGTCTGGACCACAAACAGCAGACGATGATGCTTTTTCACAGTGTATGAATGTATAATCCAGCATCAGTTACTATGTATTCGTTCATTGTGCATTTCCTGCTGACATATACAATGTTCCCAGCGCTTTCTAATGTCCAAGTGACGACACCCAACGCTGCGTGTTGGACGCTATCGCATCCCGAAAAAACGGTTTGTTTTGCTCCCTATTCCTTTCAGGGAAGCCATCGTAATATAATAATCCTTAAGCGGTAAAAATAGACGCATATCAATGTTCTCTGTAAAGAGCATATTATTAATAATATTAATTAGTATCGTATATCTCTGCGTCTATGTATACACGACGGGATCGCCCGAAACACGATTCCGACGACATTTTGGGTCTGGACATGGGCTAATAACAAAACGCTACTGTGGGAGGGACATGTTCGGAAAGAACATCGTTTACGTTGATTAGTGCAAAAAATTCTATTTGGCCTTCACGGATGATTGATACGCCCTAAAACGAGAAAAATAGAGTAGCAAGGTCTAGTCGCTTAGTTGTTAATAATAAGATCAGTAATTTCATCTGAAATTATTAAAACTAACCTACCTAACTCCTTCGATGTCTTTTTTCTAGCGTGCACTTCGCATGTTCATGTGTAGCACACAAAGAAGTAGATACGCAGGTCGATTGACGACAAACTCTGAACTCTCACAACTGAATTTTCAACAGATTTTACGTGTGCCCTTCTCCTACACGAAATTAGTAAGCTACATGATTTCTATAGGCTGAGTTGACATCTGCGACTAGTACCGCGCGAAAACGCCTAAACACTATAAGTGCTACCTATTGCGAATTTCATTGTTCGTAAACCAACATTGTACATAGCATAAAATCATCTGTTACATCTTCGTTTCCGCAGCGTTTTTTCATTTAGTTCTAGAAAAGTCGTGGCTCGTGTTAATAGATGATAAACGACCCACTTTTTTTTTTTTTCTTTGCAATATCTATTGCATTTTCCATTTTGCAGTCAAGCCTGTGCACTTTTCTAAATAGCCGCACAGCTTATGAAGTAACGTCAATATTTTTATATGTGTACAAAATACAGACCCGAAAAACATTATTTGATCTGGGCTTTTTAACGTTGTCAAGGGTTTGCATGCCGCTGCTTTCAGATCCGAAGACGTTGCAATTTCTGTAAGCCCGCTCGTAAAGTCCATTGTAATAATTACCCTTGAAGTTGACCGAACATCCGAAAAGCGTACGAGCTCGGTGCTAGCTAACCCATACGTGACACGATTTACCAGAACAGGACTCCAACCTGACAAAGTGCGGCTTCAGGACGCTTAGAAAAATTAACCTGATGGTTTGACTTAAGAAAATATGTTTTTCTGTTTGCTTGCTACGTGTTTGTTGGGATTGAGCTATTGTCGCTTGATAAAACGATCGATTCGGACTTTTATTATCAACAACTAACAAAATTATAACGAGATATGAAAAAAATCGCCAGGCCACATACATCTTTAGCTACCAGGCAAAAATTGAGAGAACCCTGATGAGAATACATCATACTTATCAGTCATCATACATACTTACCAGTTACTATCCCTTTTCATTTTCTGCAGAGAGCATCCTGATGGTATTCATTTAGATCTGATGGAGGAAGGCAAAAATCACTTGTCAAAGCTTTTCGCCCAGTACTGCAGAAGTCTTATGATAACGGGATTGTGCTGTTACCAGAAAATTGGCAGGAAGTCATTAGTAAAAGTGGCACATATTTAGTTCAATAACGTCATTATGTAGGGAATATATTTGCTTTAATTTAACGCTATACGTATATAACAAGCAGGGTTGTTACTGACCAAGAGTGTATATCTTATTTTTGCCATTGGAAATTAGTATGGTTATTACTAGCCTTGGCTTACTTAAGACCCTTGGCATAATTACCATTCGATCATGACGGATGGCCGATATAAGACTGGTTCTACTTTGGATGCATATCAATAGGCCAAAAGAAGTTTCAAGTGAATTAGCAGGGGATCCAGTTAACGATCCGAATATAGGTCATAGAACCCTAAGCAGTATTTTTCGTTTACACTGGAAAACTGAAGTGTGCATTTTAGTTCCAGTAAAATGTTGACTATATCTACAAAACAGCTTTGCAGACATTTTAAAGGTGTTCGATGTGAAATTGTAAAGATGGCGCGTTCAGTGAAGGAAGTATGCAATCTAGTAAAAGAATATAACAAATCTAGTGAAAGAAATGCATCTATCAGAGCTACCTGCAGCGGATGTCGTTAAAATTATACAATGAAAAAAATTGATAAAACTATATGATACCTCGAAGTGGCACTAGAAAAAGTGTTAAGTACGGAGGTAATGCCGCTGCGAGACCTAATGATCTCAGATGATTGCACCTGGATTATGTTTTCGTTGCGAGTACCGGGCTTCAGGTGAGCACTTGGGCTGGCGATGCCCATCCAATCGTTCTCTAGAACTTATTGGTAGGTGTTTTTTTAGTTTTGCAATACATTAAGTAGTTACCTCTGCTTGGCATAGGTCATATTCTGTCACGGATGCGAAATATTTTCTAAAGACATAGTGAATGACTCATAGTGAAGACATAGTGTAAACTCAGTCCATCTTTGAAGGATCTGTAGTTAAATTTCTGCCCTTTACATCGCAGTTAAGGTGGAATCAGGCTTAGCAAACGTATTCGACTCAAGTGAAGATCTCAATCGCGAATCGTGAAGATTGAATGAAAAAAATACTATCTCACGGTTTATCTGACTATAGAAATTTCTGTAGCTTTACAACAGTCAACGACGCAATACCGTTGCTGCATATGATCCATTTTTAAACTGTACATGAGCCGTATGTCTTCTTACAAGGTATATATATGCAAATATAGTTTTAGAAGTTTTAAAAATTAAACTTAGAAGTACATCTAGAAAATCGGTTAATGTTATTTAGGTAAATTCAATTACACTGCGTAATAATAACCTTCATAATCATTGCTTTTGTAAAATATATCTATAAATGAATAGCCAAATGCTCACAAATGAGTACCATGTCTTTCACTTTTAGATAGGAAGCATTATTTTTTTTGTAATTCTGTCAATAAATTAACAGAAAATAGTTATTTATATGATCCATCACCGCCAATCATGTATCGTATAATCCGTAAACTGGCCAGGTTTCAATTTACCTACTGTGTTTTGGGTCCGGCTATGCCGCTACGCATTGCCTCGAAAGGGTTCACGAAATGAAGAGTGTGTCTACTTGCGGTTTCGAAGTTAGATCGCCGTTCACCTCAAAGCTTACTAAGCAATCACGAAAGAGCTTTCTATAATGAAACAAGCACAACGATAGGGTAGATGGTTCAGTATCTGGAATATCCTATACGCTTCATTTTTATCATGTTTCGCTGCAAGTGTGCGTCAATAAATAAATTAAGCTCGCGTTAGATGCGTTTATACACTATAGGTTGAAATCTTGGAGTCTTTCGTGCTCGCTAACCTTACCTGGAAACGAGTCATCACGGAGATTGTCGGTGACAGTAAGTGGAGCTGAATACCTGCTAAAATTAAGGCCATTACGTCATTTGTCAGGAATATTGTTGGTTAGAACACTGTAACTGGCCTTCACATTTACTATAACATTAAAAAAACAGAGTATCATCTGCTGTATTCGCTACGGATCTTTCTTGCACGCCGCGACCTCGACAGTGGACCAATAGTGAGCTTAAGTCAGGAGAAGGAGCAATATAGGAATTAATCGTATCCATCGATTCCTTTAATTAAAAACTACGTAAATTGCGTACAGAGACGACTATCTAGGGGGGGGGGGGGGCTGTTTCAAAATAAACCAACAGAAACAACTGAATGCGTTTATATGAATCTTCCTCGATTACAAACTTCATACATGTAAAAATTTATTTGTGTGCAACATTAATCAAACGGCCTTCTTCATGATACGTATTGACTTACCCTAGTTTTTGGCCGTTCTTTCGCATAAATCGGGTCCTGTCTTTGAAATGGCAGAACGGGTGTTCTCCTTAAGCCTGTCTGCCATCGACGGATTGTCGTAGCACACCTTTTAGGTAGCCTCATAGAAAGAAGTAGAGCGAAGTTATGCCACGTGATCTGGGGGTTATTTGACGTCACCTTGCCCGGAGATCAGCCGCTAACCGAAGTGATCCTTTGATACCGTGTGCGTGGTGTACCATTCTGCTGAGGCCACATGTATTACAAACAGAGTTAACAGAATAAATTAACAAAAGGGATCAATAATACTTTCTATTCATTTTCGTATTCGATAGTTGTTGTTTTGTTGAATGTAAATCCGCTCTGTGGATAATCCACCGTCAGTCCATGACACTTTGCGGACGATGAACAAATTTAAGGAAAATATCCGTGAGAAATTTTTAGATGGAGGTAGGATTAGATGTGTGCAAAAAAGTGGGCAAGAAGCAGATGCGAATAATTACAATGAGGAATGTCAAGAAACTTCACTAGGCACTAAGGTTTACTTTATGGATGGTGTACTTAAAGAGTTTGTAAGAAAAAAAAAATGTACGTAAATACATTCAGTTATTTTTGTTGATCTAGCTTGAGATTATCCTCGACCAGACGGCCGCCCATTCATAACACAATGAGTAAAAATAGCTGTATAGTAATACAGAGAAGATGACACACATCGTAAGAATGATTAAATTGGCTACCAAGACCGTTGAAATTGAAAATGGGTAAAAAGTGCTAGTTTTTTTTTATTCCAGTTGTGAGTTTACATTACAGAGTTGAAGTTAAGAGTTATCCCGGCAAAATCCAGGCGCCGATACGCGACGTTTTACCTGAACACCTTAAAATATGGCGGGAGTGGAGTAATGCTTTCGATATTTGTTCTAGGCAAAAAAAAATCTTGGCGAATGATATTGGTGTACGATCAGCCAGAATTTATATATAAATATGTATATAGATATGTTTATTTTTATAGGCTCCAATATGTGTCAACTAGTTTTTTTCCATTAGTAAATCGTATGTGAGCGTATTTTTTTGCGAAAGCAAATTATTCGGATAGCTTTCACATGTCACTGCCTGTGTAATATAACTATCACCTACTAAGTAAATTATGTATTAACTAGTCTAGTATGCTTCCTAAATTAAAGGGGGAACAGACACATCTAAAAAAAACTATTGTTGTTATATATTTATGTAAGATCATCTTTTAAAAGCATAACGCACATTCATTCACGGTCCCTTTTCTGGCATGTTTATATCTTGAGAAAAAGCCCGCGCTTTAGGATTTAAAAAATATGCACCTGTCACTATTGAAGTTATATGGCCGCATGGTAAGGACGCATGACTGCTGGTACAAAATGCTACTGATTCTAGTAATAGCTCGTTTTAAATAGCAGTAAGGATGGAAGAGCGTAGGATTATTGGTATGGGTCGTAGAGCATACATATAAGCGCAGGTTGAAACATGTAAATCACAATTTGTTATTGACGATCAGCGTTGCAAGTAGCGTAGGTGTTCGTGCACATCGAGCTTCACGTCTTCACAAGGTTGAGGGGGCGCGCGCGCGGGCTCGTTGTTACGCTGACAGAAGGTATTTTACTTGATTACGAACGGCTTCTTTCATTCAGAAGCTGCATTAGTTCTATTAGGTTCTATCGGCGTAGCATATAGATGTATGTGAGAAATATCCTAAATCGTGCTTGCAAACATTCCTCAATGAGGTCCAGTAGTAACCCAACAGCATAACCAACAACCCTCTACATGTATTCCTGCATTATAGGTGTATATCCGTTAGCGCAAAAGCAGAAGGTGCTTTGAATCGAGTGGACCCTCGACTACAGAATTCTGCGATAGGGTTTCTTACTTAGTAAAATAAGGAATACGTCGAACGTTCTAGTTGTTAAAAATTAAAAGGAACAATAGCCATTAAATAACAGTGACAATGGCTAATGGTATAGAAAGTATAATTTGGTGAAAATGTGCCAAACAGCTACGAACTGCTCTCGGTCACTGAAGAAATCTTTCTTAATATTGTTTTGCTATGTCGACGTATATCAGTGAGCGATCAATCGGTAGAGACGACACGGTTTCCCCTAGCCAAAGAACTCCCATTCAGCCAAAGAAAAAAAAAATAGAAGAAAGGTCCGATTTTGTGAAAAGATGCACTTTTAACAGATCATTCTAGTTGCGTGCAGTAACCAGCCTCATCCGAAAAAACCGACCTTTCCAAATCACATGCGTATCCAGCATTTGTATCAACTCAAAACAGAAAACTGGGCAGCGTAGAATAACCCTCCACTCTCCATTTTCTCAGCCATTCACCCCACCAGAGATTTAAACGATTTCACTGGATTTTAAGCTAAGGCCAAGAAGAAGCTCTAGTTTTAATTAGTACACGAAAGACTCTTACGTGTCTGTGTATGTTATTGTAAATAGAGCCTATGTTTAAAACAAACAGATATTTCATTTAGACAGTTTGTTATTTAAACAAACGTTTGAAATTAACGAAAAAAAAAAAAAAAAAGAGTAAAAATTAATGCAGTCTGTGATGCTTGAAGATACCCCAAGACGTGTGCGTGATAATTCACCATACCTTTGTCTCTGTAAAACGTACCTAATCTTAATCACGAAGCGTGGCTTGCTGAAAGCGTAAAGCGTTTCTCTGTTTCTAAAAGAGGCAGACCACTACGCTAAGTGCATTGTAAAGCATCAATACATAAATGTACACGAAAAACCCATGGAAAACTAAATAACTTACAATTGGCATCTTATTTTTTATCTAGACGTTGTTAAAAAATAATAATCGTCTATTAATAAATTCTGTTTGAAAAAAAAATAGTCAACGAGTAAGAGAATAAAACTTTCTGTTATAATCAAATCCGAACAAAACATCCATGTTGATTTTCGAAGTAACGATTACGACGCATATTTATCTTCAAATGTGTCTGATTATATTCATTTTCTTTCATTAGATTTCCAGTTAACAGAGCTTTTATGAGGTTAACACATCCTAAAAGAAATCACAATGGCTAAAATTATCAAGGAGCTTCAAAGGATAGTGGTCGAGCGCTTTCAGAACAGCCCAAGACGAAGAATATTTATAGCACATATCAACGAGAAGCTCGAAGGGAAGTTGGTTCTTATGGTGAAATCTCACGAGAAACCATAGACATAATGGCTGTTAAATAATTGACCCGTAAATAAGCCATTGCATAAATGCTCGCAAATAGTCATTGTTAGTTAGTTCTATGCATTATGCAATTTCTGCCTGGACCAACATGAGGTTGTGGAAGGTAAGTTTAACGGTGTCTAACAATATCAATATAGCAACGTGGTCTTGTGTGGAATCGGACACGCGACTGCTCTTATCTACGCTTACCTGTACCTACTGCCTTACCACGTCTGGCTGTCGTAAGCGAAAGCGCTTGGCCTAAACAGAATAGTAACTGCAAGTTCGTTGTCGTCGAACTTTGCACTACAGTATTATACCTCTGACAATTGCACAGATTTCGCAATTTCTTTCACCAGAATCGACCGGCGGAGCATCTGGTCAATGAATCAAGGGTAGGTACTATAGGATTAGAACATTCATCTTTTCGCATCATTCGACGCTTCGTTATCGTTCAGAGAGAGGCTTTAGAAGTACTTCCGACTCGACCACGCCCTCTCCGAGTGCAGCACAAGACCGATAGACTACTGTCTACTAACGAAAGGTTTTGGCTGGCAAGGGGTTGTCGATACGTGATTTATTCAGGTTGACTTACGAACGGGAAGGAGGAAAGGCACTAGAAAGGGTCGACCGGATAAGAGTCAGAACTGACACATCGCTTAGCACGGTGAATGCTGTTGGCACATCTTTGACGTTTTGTACCTGCCGCGGAGCCAAATTGGGGTGCGGGCTGCTGGAGCCCACCTCGTTTTGTGCTTTTCATTTGTGTGTTACAATTGGAAAGATCGCGATTGCGGAATTCGGGTCGCGGCACACGGATAATACGGAACAGTATGCAAACGAGAAGCGTCCTACGCTGTGAAGAGCTCCGGACGACACGGGTCGGTAAACAGCATATTGGAGCTCAGAGAAAAGCGCGAGAGAAGCATTGGCCGTTTCGGAGACACGTGGTAACCTTTGTGAAAACCTTAGGGCGGGATCGCCTTTCGGAGCCAGCCGTCTGACTGTAAGGCAATATGAACCGACCGATAGCACACAGATTAGTAGATGGTTAATTTTTACGATGTCGTTATGGGGTCGCAATTAGTACGTGGCGTTAACATGACGCTACAGAACATTATCGTATTCTAGCAGTAAGCAAGGCTGTGGTAGTGTTTAGTGATGGTATCGGCTGGATTAAAAGAATTACGATTTGTGCAAACGTTTGAACAATACAACATTGAGAAGTGTTTATTTGGTCGATCCTTTTATTGCCTGCACTACCTATTATTGACTGTGATGATCCAACTTGCCAATTATTTTCCACGCCTGCTTAAATCGAAGAAGAACTTACGTGATCCTGGGTTTAACTAAATCTTTTTGTATATCTGATATATCATGTGGTTACAATCTGTAAATTGCCGCTGATTCGGGACTTTATTAGAATCCTGTCTATTCTTCTGAATTCTTCTTTCGTAATTCCACGAATAGACGCAGATAAATAAGTCTGTGTTGTGGAGAAGTTTACAGTTGTTGCAACAAGGCGACAATATCGGATTGCTTAATGTCGCGGTATGAAACTTATGTTATGACCCCGTTGAAGAACCCCTCAAGACGCTGGTTCACCGACAGGTAAAAAGTATACAAATATGCACAATTCGACCGCGTCCAAACTGCCATAGACACATTTTTACTATTAAAAGATCGCTATGAGGACATATATTTTTACACTGATGCCCTTGCTACCCAGTAAGTTTATTTTCATGTTTTTATCACACACGTGGGTGATGATAACGAACATCATTATCTATTGATAACACCATAATAATAATCGGTATATAGACAACTTTGTAATATCCCATTGAAGCTTTTTTGCATTTCCCTGTTAGAGGGCTTTCGTCTACGGTAAAGCAATTTCATGTTTCGGACCAATGATTCCTACAGCTGCCGTTTGATGAAGAGCCAGCCAGCGGATAAACTTGATATTTATATGATAGATATGTTGGAAAAAGTCGCTAACAACGGACCAGACTATTTGAACGCGTCTACTAGAAATACGGCGCATTGAGTCCATTTTTCAAAATGGAAAATAGAGAATTGTTTTTCTTGCAGTGCCACAAGACGTAGCTGAGTTAGATTTTAACAGCTCGGAGAACATGGTAAGACCACCACCCCTCACGACCGTCCGCCCACACTTTTCCCTTCGGTCTATTGCAGTTTTAAAGAACTCCCTTGCTAGAAACTTTCTAAGCCAAATGTTTTTCCTCACAGTCACATAAAGAACTAATGTTTATTCAGCTACACTTATTCAGAAGAATCGAGGGTAACGTAAGACTTAGACTCTTAGGAGGAAAAGTGTTCAGGCGACTAGGCGGCTGCTGCTATTTCGGAGGATGCTGCCTCTAAACTTGCCGGTACTGTTCACTATTTCAAAGTTTAAGTCTTCTTAGATAATTAGTTAATGTAATACAAGCGTCGGGTTAGAGGCATAGAACGGATAGATAGCGAAAATGGATAGTGAGAGAGAGAGAGAGAAAGGGGGGGCAGATAAATGTGGAGAGAGTGAGTGAAACTCCAGAGGAAACTGGCTGTGCCTCACACGTGCGGTTGCTAGTAAGTGGCATATAGTAAAATGGAGCTCGGTTTAATGAAGTAATTACGAGTGAATAATCCAACTAAACGAAGTAAGTGAGTGTACTGGAGTAGGCAAATGTGAAGTCATTGAATTGCCACGAATAGGAAATCTAAATAGGAGATGCTCATCTTTTGAAACGACAATTCACAGGCTCCTGAATCCATTCCAGTCAGCGTATTCGAGCCTTATGCATGTTTAGTTGTAGCGCTCGGTGTACCTGACTTGTTCTCGAGAGAACGTCAAACGGGAACTGTGGACCCTGTTCAAGAGAAAAACAGAGGGATTAACTATATGATCTCGTTAGTAGAGGACCCCTGTAACCAGTGAAGTTACGATATTTCCTTGTTGTATCGAAAAGGATCCAAGAACAATTATATGTTCGGAACGGTCTTTCCATCGCTAGCTCAGACATACTGATGCTTACTCATTCACTGGGAAATGACAGCCCGATAAGATTGGTAGCTAAGACCTAAAATGATATGATTTGCAACAAAGCGTAAATCATGAAGCTTCTTTTTAGTAATGAGCGTAAAAACTTCTGCTTGACAGTATAGTAGTAATTATTATTATTATTCGTATGACTTACGGCAAGATTCCGCTAGTAATTCAGAATAACCCCAGCCCCCGTGATCATCAATTAGTATCTACTAACGCGTTTGCTCGCCATAGATTCACTTATTGTACACTTTACATTAACCCGAATTTTTCCCGAACAGTCATTGGGCTTCTCCAATAATGAAACGAACTAACGTGTCGCGATTACTAAATAGTAATACTGGACTATAATTAATAAAAAAAAAAAAAGTTGACATTTACGTTTCGTGCAGTTAACTTTGCTAGATCGAATAATGCGCTCATATCGAACTAAAAACGCTTCCCTTTAAGCCATTCACAGCGACATCTACGTATACGAGCAAGTCTATTTTCGATAACAACCATCAGAAATTGGATCCGCGCGTTGCCATGTCCGTTAATTACGTATTCTCGTTACGTGGCCAGGGTCGGAGAAGCGAAAGAGTATCATCATGGAAAATCCCTTTCTATGTATTGTTAGAGGCAATGTTGATAAGTTTCTACGACGCCTCTTACCGCTTGTAGATTTGTTCCTGTATGCGTTAATGTGTACATATATATCAACTATAGGTAATATAGCTATCCTTGCAACTTCATTGGGCGATCGCTGGAAATCTATTCTATACGGAAAAAGACGGAACCGAAGATACCGTTGACTACCTTCGCAGTGTACATAAACAATATTGTATTGCCTCTTTTATTTCTTTAACATCCTAAAGGTCTCTCGTGCTAATGCCACCTCATTGATACAAAAAGACTGTTACTGTTACGGCGAAGGCAAGCAGTCAGCCATAACAAGTATGGCTACCACTTGTCTACCTGTACAAGCACTACCTATACACCACAACCTGTATGAATAAAGAAAGTTTTTACCTTAGCATCATACCACTTAATAGCTTCGCTACAGGGGGCTGCTAAATCCGTTAAGCAAACAAAACCTTGAATTTTAATTAAAATTCCTGAATTCACAATTCTTCTGAACGACGTATTGGGCTTCACTGTGACAATATGTATATATATATATATATATATATATATACACACCGGATTTTTCTCGTACGTGTGTGTGCGTCACTCGACTGTCGAGAAGGTGTGAGCGCAAAGACAACGTAGGGCAGAAAGCGGTGGAGATCTAGACCGACGGAGCCCGAAGGCCATCGCGACGCAAACGACGCGTGCCTAACCTAGCTGACTCGCGGTGGCTCTCAATGTTTGAATTTAATCAAATGAAGATATATAATATCATGCATCAGCCCTTGCAGAACCGCCTTTGGCTGAGCGACGAACGAGACCAGCCGTGCCTTCGAACGCGGCCTGCCTCTACAGCAAACACGCCTATGTCTTGCCACCCTCTCCTCCCCCCTTGTCCCTCACTAAACTATCATTTCCGCGCTCGAAAAGAAAAGGTTGGGAGTGACTTACTTGAAGGAAATTTACAGCAGTAGGGTTTGATGCGACGGTAGCGATAATTGAAGCGGACGGATTATAAAGCATTCTCGGAGCTAGATAACTACGGAATGCTAATGTGTATTTTCCATCTTCAGGTAATGTAGATGGCGACCAGCGGAACAATCGATGATGAGGCAGCGTTCAGAAACCAATATACAATGACGTCGATGACGATCTCGTAACGATTCTTTTGAAATTAGGTACTAATAAATGTAAAGCGGTAGATTAACTGTACGTTCCCTATGCGTCTAGTAGACGCATGCTTAGATTCAACGCGTGAAGTAACACAGCCGTATGTACCTAATTGTTGAATGTTGTTTTCCATGAAATCCTATAAGCCATGTAAGGCCAAGTGGTAAACAGGAAACGACGGGAGAATCTCGAAATTGATTTTGATTTCGAAATCGTTTAGGGTAATGTACGAATGGAAAACCATACTAGTAGTAGTTATTCGATTTTTGCTGCTTTTGCAAGTACGGTTAGGCAATACAAATTTGCATTGCCCTCGTACGATTTTACAGATGAGCTTTGTCAGGTCTCAGTTTTTCGCCATTCTGCTGACTCTATTATTTCTGTCTCGGTCCTTTATCCTACTCTTGAATGTACGTATAATGCTATATGCAAACAAAACTCAAATTTTCGAATGATAACTTCAATAGAAATGATCTCGCGTGTTTGTTGACGATCTCATTCATATGGTTTTAGCGAATAAGCATATATCGCTCGCCTCTCAGACCGTCTTTTCCGGCTGAAATCTTTCTGCTAGCTGTAAAGGTGGTCTTGAAAAGTGTTGATCGTAATTGAGAATTTGCTAAATTCGCTTTTTACTTGCAGGCTACGCCTAGTTCCACAGTACCGCCCTGAACGACTTGTACCCTTCAGCACATTCTCTGCACTCGTATCGATTTGACACACATCCGATCCGTAGCCTCGAGTTTATAGCCCCTTTGATCGTTTGACGGAACAATCCTGACCCATTAGTGGATTGTTTGGAAGGCTTGCGGGCTTTTCTTTTTTCCGTTACGCTTTACAAAACGATAAACGGCCACGTCGTCGCCATCGTTTAATTATATCTTTTTCTGATATTACTATTATCACAACTGCGACAGCTACAGCCGATATGCCTTGGTAACGAAACCACTCGAGCAGTGTCCGCCATCTTGATGCCTCTTCCGCCTGGGGAAATACTTTACTTCCAAACAAAAACAACACTCAAAAGCAGCGGAGGGAGCCCACACTGGTATAACCAAGATTTAGCGTGCAGTGCGATGTACGACATATCAGTAGCATTCTTTTTATCTAACCCTTAACGCGGATAAAAGCCCCTCGTTGTTGCAGGCTCCCATTTGCTTCTGTCACTCTCTAACCGACCAATGTTACAATCAATGGTAACGACGACGATACACCGTTTTCTGTTTCTTTATAATTTATCCTAGCTGACGCTGCTGCTGACGATGAAGGCCGTGATGATACACATAATGACATTTAACTTCTAGGCCCCTTTTCTGCCCATCGGTTGGT